CCTCGCAAACCAAGAGACCGAGATCAGCGAGCGCAGAAACGTCGTCATGGCTGACCTCGCAGACGCAGAACCCGCCGTACAGGACGCCCAGGCCGCCGTCAGCAACATCAAAAAGCAGCACCTCACCGAAGTCCGTTCCATGGGCAATCCTCCGCTCCCCGTCAAAAACGCAATGGAGTCCGTCTGCATCATCCTCGGCCACAAGATCGAGAGCTGGAAGTCCGTACAGGCCATCATCCGCAGAGACGACTTCATCGCCAGCATCGTCAACTTTGACACCGACCGCCAGATGACGCCCCAGATCCGCGCAAAGATGAACCGCGACTACCTCTCCAAACCCGAGTACAACTTTGAGACCATCGACCGCGCCAGTAAAGCATGCGGTCCCCTCGCAAAGTGGGTCATCGCACAGGTCCGCTTCTCCGAAATCCTCGACAAGGTCGGGCCCCTCCGCGACGAGGTGCAGTCGCTCGAACACCAGGCAGAAGATACAAAGGCCCAGGCCACGGAGATCGTAGACATGATCGCAGAGCTCGAAAACAGCATCGCCACCTACAAGGACGAGTACGCCGCGCTCATCAGCGAGACACAGGCCATCAAGTCCGAGATGGAGCGCGTCCAGAATCGCGTCTCGCGCTCCATGCAGCTCCTCGACAGCCTCTCGTCCGAAAAGCACCGATGGGAGGAAGGCAGCCGCACCTTTGACGACCAGATGAGCACCATCATCGGCGACGCCCTCCTGTCCGCAGCCATGCTCGCCTACGCCGGCTTCTTCGACCAGCAGTATCGCGAGTCCATGTGGGCCTACTGGTCCGACCACCTCCGCCACGCAGAGATCAAGTTCAAGCCCGAACTCTCCTTTGCCGACTACCTCTCTACCGCAGACGAGCGTCTCGAGTGGCAGGCAAGGTCGCTCCCCGCCGACACCCTCTGCACCGAGAACGCCATCATGCTCAAGCGCTGGAACCGCTATCCGCTCGTCATCGACCCCTCGGGCCAGGCCGTACAATTCCTCCTCAACGAGTACAAGCAGCAGAAGCTCACCACCACCAGCTTCCTCGACGAGGCTTTCCTCAAGGCGCTCGAGAGCTCGTTGCGCTTCGGAAACCCGCTCCTCATCCAGGACGTTGAGTACCTCGATCCCATCCTCAATCCTGTCCTCAACAAGGAACTCCGCCGAACAGGCGGCCGTGTGCTCATCCGCCTCGGCAGCCAGGACATCGACTTTTCGCCCTCCTTCAACATGTTCCTCTCCACACGCGACCCTTCCGTCGAGTTCTCGCCCGACATCTGCAGTCGCGTCACCTTTGTCAACTTCACCATGACGCGCAGCAGCCTCCAGAGCCAGTCGCTCGACCAGGTGCTCAAGGTCGAACGCCCAGACACCGACCGCAAGCGAACCGACCTGATGAAGCTCCAGGGCGAGTTCCGCCTGCGCCTCCGCCACCTCGAGCGCTCGCTCCTCACCGCGCTCAACGAATCCGAAGGCAACATCCTCGACGACGACAAGGTCATCGACACCCTCGAGACGCTCAAGAAGGAAGCCGCCGAAGTCACCTCCAAGGTCGAGGAGACCGATGCCATCATGCACGAGGTCGACCAGGTCACCGCCGAGTACGTGCCGCTCGCCAAAGCGTGCAGCTCGGTCTTCTTTGTGCTCGACCAGCTCCACCTCATCTCGCACTTTTACCAGTTCTCCCTGCGCTTCTTCCTCGACATCTTCGACTTTGTCCTGCGCCGCAACCCGCACCTCGCCGGCGTCTCGGATCCCAAGCAGCGCCTCGACATCCTCATGCGCGACCTCTTCCTCGTCGTCTTCCATAGGACCAGCAAGGCGCTTGCGCACCACGACCACGTCATGCTCGCCATGCTGCTCGCTCAGATCAAGGCGCGCGAAGAGGGCCATGCCGACACGCTCGACAGCGACGAATACGAGTTCCTGCTCGAGGGCGGCATTGCAGCCGGGGCCACCACCACGCAGCGCAGCGGCGATGGTGAGATCGAGGCCATGCTCAACGAAGAACAGCTGGCCCGCGTCCAGGCGTTCAAGCGTCTCGCCTTCTTCCGCACCATCGAAGACCACATGGAGGCAAACGCTTCACAGTGGCTCGCCTTCCTCGGCTCCAACAGCCCCGAGACCGAAGTGCCCGTCTTCTGGCCGACCGAAGAGGCAGGCAGCGATATCAAGGACGAGGTACGCAGGATGCTCGTCGTCAAGTGCTTGCGGCCCGACCGCATCGTTCAGGCCATGGCGGCATTCAGCTCGCGCATCTTTGGCCAGGACGTGCTGGGCGACCCGGGCTACGACCTGGGCAGGATCGTAGCCGACGAGACGGACGCCAGCACTCCCATCGCGCTGTGCTCGGTGCCGGGCTACGATGCCAGCTTCCGAGTGGACCACCTAGTCAAGCTGGTCAACGCGCGATGCACGTCGGTGGCCATGGGCTCGCAAGAGGGCTTTGCGCTGGCCGATCACGCCATCACGTCGGCGGCGCGCACGGGCAACTGGGTGCTGCTCAAGAACGTGCATCTGGCGCCGAGCTGGCTGTCGCAGCTCGAGAAGAAGATGCATGCGCTCAATCCGAACCGCAACTTCCGCCTCTTCCTCACATGCGAGACGTCGCCCTCGATCCCGGTCAACTTTTTGCGCGCCTCGCGCATCCTCATGAACGAGCCGCCGCCGGGCATCCGCGCGAGCATGCTCGACAGCCTCAAGAGCATCGCACCTGCGCGTCTGCAGCGCGGGCCCGCCGAGACGCCGCGCCTCTACCTGCTGCTCGCCTTCTTCCACGCCACGCTCACGGAGCGACTGCGCTACACGCCGCTGGGCTGGTCCAAGCCGTTCGAGTTCAACGACTCGGACGCCGAGGCGGCGCTCGACATCATCGACGGCTGGGTGACGCAGGTTGCCAAGGGTCGCGCCAATGTCGATCCGCAACAGCTGCCTTGGGACGCCATCCGCTCGCTGCTCAAGCAGAGCGTGTACGGCGGCAAGATCGACAATGCGCCGGACCAGACGCTGCTCGACTCGTTTGTCGACGGCCTCTTCTGCGCACGCGCGTACGACGTCGGATTCGAGCTGGTCAGCGATGCCAAGCAGCCGCTCGTCGCGCCCGAGGGAACCAAGATGGAGACGTTCATCAGCTGGGTTCAGGCGCTGCCGGAGCAACAGCCGCCGCAGTGGCTCGCGCTGCCGCCGAGTGCCGAAAAGGTGATTGCGGCAGCGCAGGGTACGGGACTGCTGAACAAGCTTGTGCGGATGAAGCAGCTCGCAGACGACGATGACGACGAAAGGGTGGTGGCGGTGGACAAGAGTGGTGCAAACAAGGTTGCGGCGGGGGATGTTGGCGGTGCGTCGGCCTCTGCGCAGCCAGGGTGGATGAAGGCGTTGCGCGCGAATGCGGTGCAATGGCTTTCGATGCTGCCGACGGCGGTATCGGCGGTGCGGGCCGAGGCTGGTTCGGTGCAGGATCCGCTGTACCGCTTCTGGGCGCGCGAGAACCGCACGGGCTCTTCGCTGCTATCGGTGGTGCGTGCGGATCTGGAAGAAGTCGTGGCGGTGTGTGAAGGCACAGCGCGGCAGACGAACCACAACCGAACGCTGCTCACGGACCTTCCGAAGGCGGTTGTGCCTGCGGCGTGGCGACGATACGCGGTGCCCAAGTCGATGGCATTGGCCGAGTGGATCGTCGACCTGCGCGCGCGCCTGGACCAGCTGGAGCGCATCACACGCGAGTCGGCCGAGCTGGGCGGCTCCGGCACGGCGGGGTACGAGATGGTCGAAGTGGTGCTCGGGCTGCTCTTCTCGCCCGGTGCGTATCTGACGGCGACGCGGCAGAGTGTGGCGCATGCATCGCGCGTGTCGCTCGAGAACCTCTCGCTGCGTCTGCTACTCAACGACGCCAAGGCCGGGCTCGAGGTGGGCAAGTTTGCCCTGCGTGGACTCAAGCTTCAGGGGGCCGAGTGGGATGGTCAAGCATCGCGCATCCGACTCAACGATGGCGCCGTCACCAACCTTGGCCTGACCGCGTTGGTGTGGGAGCAAAGCAGCCAGAAGAAGGACGACGAGACGGTGCCGATTAGCGTGTACCTCAACGAAGACCGCAGCTTGGCACTGTTCGCTACGCCGCTCAAGGCCGAGCCGGGCGTCAAGCAGGCTACGCTTGCGCAACGCGCCGTGGCTCTACGTGCGGCATGATTCCCAATGCACAAATCAACAGCCTTCCATTGCAGAGAGTGTAGGGGGTATAGAGGATTACTGCTTGGAGAGCGACGACCACAGACGGCCTAATTCTTCGAGCTCCTTGTCGTCGTCTGGTGTGTCTGGAGGGTGTTGCGTTGAGCCTGGGTGGGAGAAGGAGGCTCTGATACCGGCGGTGACTTGCTGCCAACGCTGCGTGAGCGAGGTGCGTTTCTCTGGGCTTCCTAGCAAGATTTCGGACCACGCCACCTCCTTTGGCCCCCCTCTTAATTCGTCGGTGCTGTGCGAATCCGGTCGGTAGGAGGCAGGTAGCAGTCCTTGGTCGAAGGGGTTGACGCCTACGGCTCTCCACCTGCGCACGAGCGAGTCGAGCTCATCCGCATCCACATGCACCCCTTCATGCGGTCGTTTGAATAGACGTGCTAGCAGCGATTGTGACGGCGGTTGGAGTTGATAGAGCCGGAGGGTGTTGAATGCGATGGTGTCCTGGAGCAGTGCGATGCGGATACGGTGGGTGCGCAACTGGTGTCGACGCTCGGTGGTGATGAGCGCATGGTTGAAGGCGAACGACGTGACGAAGGTCAGCAGCAGGATGGGTGGGATCGCCGACGGCGCAAACCAACGACGCCCGGACATGATGCTGAGCAGTGGCGGTAGGAAGAAATGGTAGTGGGCGAGATATTTCTTCGTCCAAAAATGGCCCGTCTTCCGGGCCGAGTTCCGAACCCGGCGCGCGGTATAGACATGCGCAGAGGTGTCACTTTGGTGTTGTTCTCCCTCCCGCAACGTTCAACCAGCCATGTCGGTCGAAGCAGGCACATCGCGTTTGCCCTCTGCGGGGCAGTTCGGGGAGCTGACGGCTTCGAAGCACGTGTCGTTCCTGCTGCGATGCCTGCGCATGCTTCCTGCGCCGTACACTTCGGCCGACGACCAGCGCATGACGCTCGGCTACTTTGCGCTCGCCGGCCTCGACCTGCTGCATGCCACGCACAAGGTTGCGCTCGACGAGGCACGCGAGCTCGTAGACTGGGTGTACGACCAGCAGGCCCCCGAGGGCGGATTCCGCGGCTCGCCAAGCACCCCCTTCACACCGGCCACCGCCGGACGAGTGGGCAGCGCGAACATCGCCATGACCTACTCGGCGCTGCTCATCCTTGCCATCCTGCGCGACGACTATACGCGCCTCGATCGCGGCGCACTGCTGCGCTACATCGCGGCGCTCCAGAGCGCGAGTGGCGGATTCGCAGCCGAACTACCGCCGAGGGATAGGGAAGTGAGAGAGGCGGATACGGATCCGAGGTTCACCTACTGCGCCGTGGCGGTGTGCGCGATGCTGGGCGACTTTTCGGGCATCAACATCGCGACGGCGACTGCGTTTCTGAGGGGCTGTCAGAGGTACGATGGCGGCTTCGGTGCCAGTGGGACGCAGGAAGCGCATGCGGGCATGACGTACTGCTGCGTCGCTGCGCTCCACCTTCTATCGCCCGTCGAGCACGGTGCCACATGGCCAAGCGACCAGGCAGTTGCGTGGTTGGCGCATCGTCAAGTCAATGCGACCCCCGCCGCATGCGAGAAGCACGAAGTTCAAGCAGGGAGCGAGTCTGATGACGACGAGGTGGATCTGGTGGGCGGCTTCCAGGGCCGGCCGAGCAAGCTTCCGCCGGACGTGTGCTACTCGTTCTGGAACGGCGCTGCGCTGTCGTTGCTTTCGGCGCACGAGCTTGTCGACGCCCCCGCCGACGCTGGATATGTGCTGTCAGCCCAGAGCCGTGTGGGTGGTGTTTCAAAAATCCCAGGCGACCACCCAGACCTGCTGCACACTTACCTCGGGCTCGCCTCGCTCTCGCTCCACCAGCACGGCCAAGGCGGCGACGACACGGACGAGCACCGGCTCGACTTTGGGCTCGCGCCGCTCGATGCCGCGCTCAACTGCACACTCGCGGCCAAGCAGTGGATCGATACGCATCTGAACAGGAGCAAGACGTAATCGATTGCGTATCAGAGAGGCTGAGTCGTCTGAGTGCAGTGGGTGTGAGTGTCGGGAGGGCCGAAGAGCAAAGCATAGTAGCGACCCAGATCGGCATTGAGCGGGGAGGGAGCGCCCGATTCCGATCGAGGCAAGCGTGGCAAAGCGGGCGGGCGTGCGGGCGAGGCTGCGGCTTCGACCAATAAAGTTGATTCAGAGAGATTTCCGTTCAGAGTCGGGGGTGCGTGTGGATTTGGCCGGCGTGTCGCGCGCGTGTGCTGGTGCCGGTGCCAACAGCCGCTGTTGGCTTCATTTTGGAGGCCGATTTTTTGTTGAGAAGATCTGCTCGAGGCGCGGTGCTCGGAGGCTGCCAACGCGCGCGCTCAGCCAGAGAGCAGCAGCAGCAGCAAACTCAGAGTGGGGCGACTCGCGCTCTGTCTCGCTTTCTCCACGCCGGCTCGTTGGCCCAAGCCAGGGACGCACTCTCTCCGCACATGATGGCCCCACTTCGTCCGCTCGGCCTGTCGTTCTCCTTCTTCTCCGCACGTCGTCGTCGTCTGCACCCTGGACCCGACCCCACCATCTTTGCCCCTGCACACACTCGCTCACCATGAGTCTGCTCCAGTATGTGCTGCTGGGTATCACCCACCCGTCCGAGCTGCGCGCCATGATCGGATACAAGGTCTGGCGCGACCCGCTCAACGACATCAAGGCCAACCCGGTCGAGTCCGGCTGGGATCGCGAGCGCATGCGACAGTGCTGGACCTTCCTCGACCTCACCTCGCGCTCCTTCGCCGCCGTCATCAAGGAGCTCAAGGGCGAGCTCTCGCGCGTCATCTGCCTCTTCTACCTCGTCCTCCGCGCGCTCGACACCATCGAGGACGACATGACCATCCCCGCCGACAAAAAGGTGCCGCTCCTCGTCGACTTTTACAAGTACCTCGAGCAGCCCGGATGGAACTTCACCGAGTCCGGGCCCAACGAAAAGGACCGCCAGCTGCTCGTCGAGTTCGACAAGGTCATTGCAGAGTACCAGCTGCTCGACCAAGGATACCGCACCGTCATCTCCGACATCACCGCAAAGATGGGCGCAGGCATGGCGAGCTACATCGAGCTCAGCGGCAAAGCCCCCTTGAGCGTCAGCACCTGGAAGCACTTTGACCTCTACTGCCACTTTGTCGCCGGCCTCGTCGGCGAGGGCCTCTCGCGTCTCTTTAGCGAAAGCAAGCTCGAACGGCCCTGGCTCGGTCACCAGCTCGAGCTCTCCAACCACATGGGCCTCTTCCTCCAAAAGACCAACATCATCCGCGACTACGCAGAGGACTGCCAAGAGGGCCGCTTCTTCTGGCCCAAGCAGTGCTGGGCCGACGACTATGCGCGCTTCGCCTCGCAGCCCGACGTCGCCAGCGGCATCGTCGAGACCAAGCCGGGAAGTGGCAAGTACAAGCCCGCCGACTCGGAGCTCGGCCGTCGCAGCATGTACGTGCTCTCGTCCATGCTGCTCGATGCCATGTCGCACGCCACCTCGGCACTCGACTACCTCGCGCTGCTCAAGGAGCAGTCCGTGTTCAACTTTTGCGCCATCCCCCAGGTCATGGCCATCGCCACGATCGAGCTCATGTTCAACAACCCGGACGTGTTCAAGAAGAACATCAAGATCCGCAAGGGCGTCGCCGTCGGGCTCATCCTCAAGGCGGTCAACCCACGCGATGTGGCGTACACCTTCCTGGCGTATGCGCGCAAGATCCACGCACGCCTCACGCCCGCCGACCCCAACTTTGCGCGCTGGTGCGTCGAGCTCGCACGCATCGAGCAGTGGTGCGAGACCTACTACCCGGGCTTTGTCGCCAACGAGGGCGGCTCGGACGACGTGCGTGCCGACGGCCTCAAGCAGTGGAGCGAAAAGCGCAGGACGCAGGCGCTCATCATGAAGCACGCCAAACTCGAGGGCAGAGACCCCACCTCCATGGACGCCAAGGAGGCCATCGAGGCCGCCAAGCGCTCCGCCTTGGATCCAAGGGACCTGATGACCGAGGATGAGAAGAAGGCGCTCGACAAGAAGGACAGGGACGAGATGATGAAGTTCTTCATCCTCATGCTGGCGGGTATGACGCTCTTTATGGGAATCGTTGCGCTGGCTACGTGGGAGATCATTTGGTACTGGACCATGGATACGCCCGATCCGCTGTCGACTAGCGTCGTGCAGCTCTACCATTCCGCCAGGCAGGAGGGCTATGCAACCGTGGTCGAGATCCTCGCCACCGTGCGCGCGAGCTTCGAGCATGTCTGGAAACACGGCATCAACTCCAACTCGAACGCCAAACTCGAACTCTAAACCTACGCTTGCAGCATTCGTATCGGGAAACGCGAAGAAGAAAAAATTCTATTGCACGTCTCTTTGACTTGACCAGTGTGTATGGGGGGATCAGCGAACCATGTAGGCCTGCACCAGCATGGGTTGCACCTTCTTCTTGCCGTCCGTGGCGGCTGACGAGGGCGAGGTGTGGAGGTAGTGCAGGTCTACTTCGAGCTGGCGCGAGTGCTTTTGGTCCTGGCGCACCACGATGCGGCCCGAGATGGTGTCGCCCGCGCGCACGTTGGTGATGGGCTGCTTGAGCACAAACAGCGTCTGTTGCCAGTGCGTCTCCTTGCTGTAGGGCGATGTGGAGAAGGTGACCAGCTGACCCTCACTGTCGCCCTGGGTGGCTGGGGTGGTTTCGTTCTTCTTGAGCTCGATACCTGCCACATCCTTTTCGGTGAGCGTGAAGGCAGGGCAGTCGGTCGAGGCCCCCGCGGCCACGCGGGCGGTGGGGAAGAAGAAGGTGTCGAACCACGAGATGAAGCCGTGCACTTCGTCGGCGTCCTTGCGCACGGTCAGGCGGAATTCCGATTCGGGCTCCGGCTGGCGGGCGGGCAGCGAGGGCAGATCGAGGTCTGCAAAGATGCACGAGTCCGAGACGACCTCTTCGGCATCGAGCACGTCCACAAACGCTTCGTCGAGCAGACCCGTGGTCATGGCCGACATGTCGAAGCCGTGTACGCTGTCCCAGAATCGCAGCTTGGTCTGCAGCAGCGCGGGGCTGCTGAAGGCTGCCAGATGCATCGTCATCCTGTTGGGCGCCAGCACGCCCGTCTGCGCGTTCAGATAGCGGTCGCGCGCAACCAGCACGCTGGGGAGCATGTTTTCGTACAGCAAAAAGTAGCCCATCCACTCGCTCACCAGCACATCCACCTTGCCCTCCCACGGCTTGAGCTCCTGCTCCAGATCCTCCAGCTTGCCGCGGTGCACCTTGACCACATGACCGAACCCGTTGGCCTCGACGTTCTGCTGCGCGCGCTCGACGATCGCCGAGGCGTCAATGGCGATCACGTGCTTGGCGCCCGCGCGCGCGGCAAAGAGCGACAGGATGCCCGTACCGCATCCGACGTCCATGACCGTCTTGCCGCGCAGCAGGTGCGCGTTGGCGGGGCTGAGCAGGAACTGCGCATACGAGAGCGTGCGCGCCGTGTCGGTGATCATGGTCTGGTGGATCGAGTTGGTCGAGTACGAGTCAAAGTACAGCACGTCGTCTTCGGCGTCGTTGGCGCCACGCCTGGTGCGCGCACCCTTCAGCGCCGACGTGGCGAGCTGCGACTGCTGGTCGGCCGACAGCCGCGTCCCGGACGACTCGGCGAGATCGCTTCCCGAGATGCCCATCGACGACGCATGGATGGTGCGCAGCTCGTCAAACGCTGCACGTGCCGTCGCCAGCTGTTCCTCGAGCTCGCGAATCCTCTCCTGCTCCTTGGACACTCCACTTGCGCTTCCAGTCGCATCGGCAGCGATCAGGTCAAAGTCGAGCTGGAGCAGTCCATCGTCCTCGAAGCCGGGCACGGGCTTGAGCTCGGCATCGTCCGAGAGCAGTACATCGCCCGCCTGCACGCCGTTCACCTGCTCCACCGAAAGCTTGTTGCGGCGGATGTGGTTGATGAGCCGAATCACCTGGAGCGTGTCGAGCTGCAGGCGCGCCACGAGCTGCACCAGGTCGCAGCCCTGCTTCTTGGCGTCGGCGAGCGCCTCGAGCGGCGTCTTGAACGAGGCGCGCTCGCCCTGCGCATCCGCAAACAGCGCTAGCGTGGGGGCGGGCGGATTGCTGTCGTCCGACCTCCAGTCGCCAAAGTCGTTGTCCTGGTCGTCGAACTCGGAGCCCGAGTCCGAAGCCGAAGTGTAGCCCTCGGGATCTTTGTGAACCATCTTGGCTGGGATGTCGTCGTCGTGGTGGTGGTCAGAATGCTCAGCACCAGCCTGGCGGCTCTACGAGAAGATCCTCATTCGGCCGCGGGTGTGGAGGAGCCGAGCGAAATTTCGCCCCCGCCCTCTTTTTTTTCTCGGGGCACTTTGCCACACTCAAATTGGCAAAACCCCACCGATGTTACACCCCTGAAAGTGTGGATCGGCGATCTTGGATGTAAAGGCGTCTATGTACAAGAGCTAGCGAGAGGCACGCTTTCAAAAGTAGTCTATGCATCTAGGCTTCGAATACACCCGCGACGACGGTGAGCATCATGACGTCGATCTCCGGGTGCTTCTGGAGCATGTAGTCGTCCATCTTGACAAACGTGTTCATGGCCGGGCGGTCGGCGGCAGCAACGTGCTTGTGCTGCGGGTACATCTCGTCGGCCACCAGACCGGAGGCGTCGATCCAGAGCCTCGACGCGTCCTTGTCGACGGCCGCGTCGGTGTTGGTACGGATGAGCTTGCCTTCGCTATCGCCGCCCGTGACGGCCTTCTTGAAGCGCGCTGCTGCGCCGGAGCGCTTCTTGGCCGCCTCGAGCGCATCGCCCTCGAGGCGGAGCACCAGGTCGACCGACCACGAGTAGATGCCGTGGCGCGCGACGCTCTTGAGGTGGTGGCGCTGGTGGCCCTTGGGAGGCTCGCTGGGCAGGTTCCAGCTCAGAATGTCGGCGTCAAACGCCACGACGCTCCAGATGACGCCCGGGTGGCTCATCTCGAGCGTGAGGCTGCGCGTGCCCGCCTCGAGGTCAATCACCTCGTTGGCGGCGCGCACGGTAAAGTGGTTCGCCTCGGGCGCCGGAGCGGCGTACTTGGTGGCGAAACCCGCTGCGGGCGATGGCAGCTGGAACTTGTACGGCGTGAGGAACGCCGACACGGGGTACAGAATGTCAAAGTCCGAGTTGTAGTCGTTCATCACCTGCAGCTCCGCGCGGCTCTCGCTCGCGACGCCCAGGTACGACTGCAGCTCGTTGGCCAGCTTGCCGAATCCAGGCGCCGGGTCGGCAGCACCCACATTCATGAACCACTCGCCCGACGTGATGTTCTCGACCTGGTGCACAAACAGCCGCTTGGGGTGCGCCGAGTCGAACGGCTTCCAGCCCGGGCTGGCAAACACGGCCATCACCGCCGCCGTGAGCGCGAGCAGCGCCACGATGGTCTTTTTGAGGTTCTCGGCCGTGTATCGGTGCGCGAGCGGGATGGCAAAGGGGAAGCTGAGGAACGAGAGCCCAGCGACGATCGAGGCGATGATGTGGTCGGCGGGCGAGATCTCGCCCATGCGGCCCGTGAGCGGCACAAACAGGTCCAGGAAGCTCGCCATGCCCTCGACACCCACGATACCCGGGATGAGCGCCATGATCGGGTACACGTACGCCGACACGCGGTTATCTGGCGCCACGAGCTTCTCCTCGATCTGCCCCACGCCGATGAGCACAAAGTCGTTGATCGTCACCACCACCGTAAACGTGATCGAAGCGAGCATCATCAGGTATGCGCTGCCGATGCCGAACGCGTTGAGACCGAGCAGACCGAGGTTGAAGAAGATACCCAGACCCGACAGACTCGCGCGCTCGAGGTACGGCCGCTTGTGTGGTTTGATGAGCTTGGCGGTGAGCAGCTGCACCACGAGCACGCCCGCGATGGCGGGAGGTCCGTACAGGAGCATGGGGAAGAATTCGTGCGAGTACCACGACATGCCCTTGCCGAGCACGCGCGTCATGATGACGGCCACCAAGTTGGCGCCGAGCGCCGCGCCGATCATGGACACGATCGCCGCCACGGCGCTGAGGATGGTGAGGTTGAGCGCGCCGATGTTGGCTTCCGTGCGCACCGTCGACGAGAGCTGGAAGTTGATGAACGCCGAGAGACCCATGACGATGCTCTTGAACGCCTTGTTCTGCAGCATGACAAAGTAGCGGCCCGCGATGGAAAAGTAGATGGGCAGCGTGTGGCGCGACTGGTGCGGCTCGATATTGCGCAGCAGCTCGGCGCTGCCGTTCTTGAGGCAGAGGTGCTCGATGATCGCCAGCGTGTTCTCACCAAAGTGCTGCGTCGCACCGGGCTCGAGGTACTTGGGGATGTCCTTGCGCGTGTGGTAGAAGTACGAGTTGCCGACGAGCGCCATGTCGAGGCCGGTGAGCTTGTCGCCGTACTCGACAAACTGGCGGAAGTCGGTGTCGGAGAGGATGAGGCCGGTGGAGAAGACGTCGTTGGCAAGCACCGTGCCGAACGGGTGGGGCACGTGCGAGTAGGCCTCGATCATCTCCTGGCTGGTGGCCTGGAAGAGCAGCTCGGGCCCGCTGGTGCCGCACGCCTCGAGGTTGACGACGGCCTTGACGCCGGCGTTGGTCTGGTTGTGCTGGGTGATGTAGAGGTGGCTGGCGTCCTGGAGCGACTCCTCGCCGTCATTGAAGAGCAGCACCACCGAGTTGTACAGCCTGCGACCCGTGTTGGGCAAGGTGAGCACACGGAGTGCCTCGAGGAGGATGGCGACGCCGACGCCGTCATCGGCACCACCGGGGCTGGGGAGCGTGCTGTCGAGGTGAGCGTTGAGGAGGAGGCTGTTGGCCTTGCTCTCCTCGGTGCCGTCCGAGATGCGAACCACGAGGTTGGACATGGAGTAGTATCGCTTCCACACGGTGCTCGACATGAAGTCGAAACGGTGGGCACCGTCGCCGATCTGCTTGAAGACCTCGACGTGGGTGCGGCCGGGCGCGTCTGGCGTGCCGGTGTCGTGCGACCCCTCGTAGCGGCGAAGTACGTCCTCGAGCCAGTCCTCGGCCTCGACGTGCTCCTTGGTACCGACGATGCGGTAGCCTACATCGACCGAGAGGTGGTGCATGACACCCACCGCATTGGCTTCCGAGAAGAGCTCGTAGAACTTGCCGTTGGCCGACCCAGCAGCGGCGTTGGCAGGGACGACGCCAGGGACGGCTGGGTGGTAGGCGGCCGCATCAGCAGGCGTGACACCGGCAGCTAGAATCGTCGTGGGGCCACGCGGGGTGGGAAGCTTGTAGTGCAGGTAGAGCGTGATGGAGCCGAGGAGCGAAAAGAGACCCAGGACGACAAGCACGAGGAGCCCGGACTTGGGCGTGCGTTGGTAGTCGAGCGGGTCGATCTGACGAGCACGCCTGGCATCGGCGTACCTTCGAAGGTCGGCGGCGGTGGCTGCGGCGCGCGAACCAGCCGGGAGAGGCTGGCCATTGACGGTGCTTACGGCGGGCATTGGAGCGCGTGTGCCGTTTGCAGCGGGGGCCGAAGGCGCGGGCGCCGCCTTCTTGGGCGTGGACGCCTTTCGTTTGGACGGCATCCTGTTTAAAGAGGACGCGCGGGACACCGAGACTTGAGGATGGAGGGTGCGAGGGAGGATGAGGATGGCGAGTAAGCACAAGAAGAAGTGCGGCTTCTCCTCTCTTCCCCCGCTGTGTGCGGAACGTCGGTGGGTGTGTCGTGCGTCACTGGTCCAGTGCCTCCGCGGACGCCATCTTCCGAAACGCACGAACGCCGTCTTGTGCCTGGCTCGAGCTCGCCCTGACGCGCCTTTTTCCGATCGGCATTTGGCGCTCCAATTTCGCCGAATCGGGCTTCCTTGCGCACAACTCGCGGAAGATCGTGCTCGAATCGGGTCTGTGCGCACGCCCTCCCCACAAGGCTGCTTCCACTCCCCGTAAGCTTAGGACGCGGCGACCATATGCTGGTCGAAGCCTCGTCTCAGAGTCCAGAAGGTTGGTCCTAGATTGTTGTCATTCAGGGCTGACACGCCGAAAGAGGCGATCCACTTGTGCTTTTCCACGCAAAATGTTCTCAAAACGAATAACAAAAAAAAA